GGGCGGCAAGGGCGGCAAGGTCAAGGGCAAGTACTCCGGCAAGGCCGCCAAGGGCTCCAAGAGCGGCGGCAAGGGCGACAAGAGCGGCAAGGGCGGCCACTCCAAGGGCGACCAGGGCAGCCGCGGCCGGAGCGAGCGCGACTGGCCCAGCGCGGACGGTCGCGCGTCGAGGGGCGGCGATGGCAGCAGCCCCCGGGACCCCAGTGAGCGCGGCGGAGACCGCAGCGGAGGCGAGAGCCGCGACCGCCGGGGGAACACGCCCTCCATCTAGGCGTGGAGCTCCCCCCCGTGCCCCGACGCCAGCGCCCGCGGCATCGCGGGCGCGGGCTGAAGGCGGCGGCCTGTGAGTGAGTCGGCCCTCCTCTCAGCCTACCGTGCGCAGGTGGCGCCTGCGATCCTTGAGCCTACGGTACGCAGGTGGCGCCTGCGAGCTTGTTTCTTTTAGCCTACGGTGCGCAGGTGGCGCCTGCGATCTCTTTCTTTTAGCCTACGGTACGCAGGTGGCGCCTGCGATCCTCCCTCTTGGAGGAGTTAACGCTGCGCGCACGTCGCGTGCTTCCTGGACCCGGCCGTGCTGCGCGTCTTGCGCGCCGCGCGGTCGGGGCCACACTTGCGCTCTGCGCCCGGCGCCTCGTGCGCCGCCACCCTTTTCGGTTCTTTTGCGCGCATCGCGCACGCGCCGCGCCCGCGCTCTGGGTGCGCGGGCGCGGAAGGCCTCAAGGTTGCAGGCAAGTGGCCGCGCGCGCGAGGCTCTTGCAGCCTCTGATCCCGCCCTCGCACTCGGGCGGGGCGCCCCCCGCGCGCGCGGCTGCGTCTTTCTTTTCTCATGGCCGAGCGGCCGCAGGCGTGCCAGAGCGCGAGCGCGCGGGCCGTCAGGGCCCACGCGCTCGCGTTGAGCGTGGGGCCACCAGGGCCCACGCTCGGCGGAGATGCGCGTCGCCACGCTGCCATGAAAATACCATCGCCCTGTCCTGGTCCCTCTCTCGTCCCCTCCTCTCCTCCTCCTCCTCCGTTGAGTGCACGCGTATCTCACTTAACTTGTATAGTCTGATTGGTTGTAGACTGCAGGTTAAGTGGGAGGGGGTGTGGGCTCAGGTAGCCATTTTGGGTCCGTAGCGTTCGGCTCTGGCCGACGCGCGGGTGCCCACCCACCCCGCTTTGCTCCCAGACGCCTGCGTCGGCCGAGCGGCCGCAGGCGTGCCAGAGCGCGAGCGCGCGGGCCGTCAGGGCCCACGCGCTCGCGTTGAGCGTGGGGCCACCAGGGCCCGCGCTCGGCGGAGATGCGCGTCGCCACGCTGCCATGAAAATACCATCGCCCTGTCCTGGTCCCTCTCTCGTCCCCTCCTCTCCTCCTCCTCCTCCGTTGAGTGCACGCGTATCTCACTTAACTCATAGTTTTACGATTGGGCTTTGACGGGTTTTAATTTTTTCGGCCTTTTGGCATCCCGATGCTCCAAGACGGCCCAAGAGGCTTCCAATACCGCTCCCATATAGACGAAGAGGCCTCCAAGAAATCCCCAAGACGGCCCGCGAGGGCCCCAAGACGGTGCTTGAGGCGCCCAAGACGGCCCGAGAGGGCCCCAAGAGCCCCAAGAGAGGCCCAAGAAGGGGAACGCGACCCAACAGCAGAGCGGTCCCCCCAAAAGGCCCACAGGAGGCCGCAAGAGGCCCCCAAGTGGTCCGACGAGGACCGCAAAAGCTTCCCGAGAGCCTAAAAGGCCCCTAGGAGACGTCCAAGAGGCTTTAAAATAGCCCAAGAGTGCCCTCGATGCGTCAAAACTGCTTCCAGGAGGCCCCCTGGAGGCTTCCGGATTGCCTCAATCTGGCCGCAGGTGGCCTCAAGTCGGGCTTCCACGCAGCCAAGACGGCCAATGAAAGCTTCAGATTGCAGAACCGATGCCCCCAAGGGACCCTCAGACGCCTCCCCAAGAAGCACCCAAGAGGTGCCTCCATCAGCCGGTTGACGAAGCATGCGGAACACCCCAGAAGCTCCTCAGATGCCGTCGCGCGCTTGTGCTTGATATCGTTGTCCAAGATCGTCCAGCGCGCCCCTGGCCTGGGCTAGAACCTGAGCGCGCGCGAAGCGCGCGCGATGGTTCTAGCCCAAGGGCCCGAAAACAGCTGCCCGACCCTCCAGTACCGGGGCTCATTTTCGCTGTGCTTTTACGCGGTTTCGGCGTCCTGGGCCTCGAAGGCCGCCGCGATGCTCCCGGACATTTTCCAGATCCTCGGCGCGGGCTCCAAGACCATTCCGCAGAGGGCTCCAACAGGCTCCAGGGCAGCCCAAGAGGGCTCCAAGACGGCTCCAGGAACGACTGCATGGTCTCAGTTTTTTTGTGTTTTCTGCAAGACGGCTCCAAGAAGATTGCATGTCTTATGAGGATGGCTTCCGCCTCTTGCCCCGAGCATCCCAAACTGCCTGAACGGTCTCCACTCGCCTTCCCCAAACCCAGCGCTTGCCCAAGCGCGTTCCGGACGGTCTTCGCCGGAACGCGCTGGAATGATCACGCGCTGCGGTTTCCCATGCCAACGTCCTCGGACGTGGGCGCCCTGCCACGAGCGCGTTCCGGGCAGATGCTCCCGGAACGCGCTAAAAAGATATGGCCACATCTCGGGGACGCTCCCGGCACCGCTGCCCCAGCCTTTCCGGGCAGCCTCCACAGCGCTCCAGGAGGGCCCAAGACGCCCCCCTGGGGAGCCCCCAGAATGCGAAAGGATGGCCCAAGACGCTCCCGAGCAGCCCAAGTCAGCCTTCCGACGGCTCTCGAGGCTTCCAGGTGGCCTCCAAGAGACCCCAAGAAGTCTGATAGGTATCACGGTACGGCCCGAAGAGGCCACAGTCGTATATGTTCAATGGTCTTTTCAATGTTTTTTGGCTTCTCGCGTTTTCGAGCTTCCAACGGTCCAAGAGCGCCGAAGAGCCGCCATGGGGGTACCGGGGCTCATTTTCCGTGTGGTTTTACAGGGTTTCCGCGTCCTGGGCCTCTGAGGCCGCCGCCTCCGACCCCCCATGGGAGGACGGGGCGGCCGGGGAGGTCCAAAATAGTCCAGGAGGGCCTCCAGAGGCTCCCAAGATGGCCCAAGCGGGCCCCGAGTCGCCGAAAGACCGCTCCAGGACGCCCAAGATAGGCCCAAGACGGCCCGAGAGGCACCCCAAGGCACTCCACGACGCTTCAAGACGCCTCTCCAGAGCGCTTCCAGAGGCCGAAATCGTCAACTGTACGAAGGTTTTCGAACGATTTTGGCCTGCCAGCCTTTTCGGCTGTCCGACGTTCCAAGACGGCTCAATAGGCCCCCAAGGGCGCCCCAAGACGGCCCAAGAGGGCCCCAAGACGGCCCCAGAGTCGCCCAAGACAGCCCAACAGAGCCCCAAGACGGCCCCAAGATGCGCCCAAGAGGGGGACCACGACTCCAAAATTCGACCCTCCCGCTTGAAGAGTGCCCCAGGAGGCCCCAAGGAGCCCCCAAGAGGCCCCAGGAGGCCCCCAAGAGGCACCCAGGAGGCCCAAACGAGGCCTAAGTAGGCTACAAAACAGCCCCGAGGAGGCCCCACAACGGTCCCAAAACGGCTACCGAGAAGCTGCGAAACTGCCTTCACGACGTCCCCGACAGGCCAACCACGAGATCCACACCAACACCCATGAGGCCTCTGACCCACCACCCAGGGCACGGTGGCGGGAGCAGTGACAGCACTTGTGCACAGCATGTTCCGGCGGGAGCCTTCCGGAACACGCTGCAGGAGGGAGGAGGAGGAGGAGGAGGAGGAGGAGGAGGAGGAGGAAGATCAGGAGGAGAGAGAGTTGGAGTGGGAGGAGGAGGAGGAGGAGGGGGACGAGGAGGAGGAAGAGGCCTCCCAGACAGCTCCAAGATAGCCGAAGAGGCTTCCAAGAGGGCCCTGCGCGGCCCACGAGGGCCCCAAGGCGGTGCCTGAGGCGCCCAAGACGGCCCGAGAGGGCCCCAAGACGGCCCCAAGAGAGGCCCAAGAAGGGAAACACGAACCGAGAATCCGAGCTTTCTACCCCGAGAGGTTCTCGGGAAGTCCCAAGAGGCCCCCAATCGGATCCAAGAGGCCCCCAAGAAGCTCCCAAGAGGGCCGACGAGGTTCCAAGAGATCTCCCAAGGTGGCCCCAAGAGGCACAACTCATTGTTTTACGATTGGGCTTTGACGGGTTTTAATTTTTTCGGCCTTTTGGCATCCCGATGCTCCAAGACGGCCCAAGAGGCTTCCAATACCGCTCCCATATAGAGGAAGAGGACTCCAAGAGGGCCCCAAGACGGCCCGCGAGGGCCCCAAGACGGTGCTTGAGGCGCCCAAGACGGCCCGAGAGGGCCCCAAGAGCCCCAAGAGAGGCCCAAGAAGGGGAACGCGACCCAACAGCAGATCGGTCCCCCCACAAGGCCCACAGGAGGCCGCAAGAGGCCCCCAAGTGGTCCGACGAGGACCGCAATAGCTTCCCGAGGGCCTAAAAGGCCCGTAGGAGACGTCCAAGAGGCTTTAAGATAGCCCAAGAGTGCCCTCGATGCGTCAAAACTGCTTCCAGGAGGCCCCCGGGAGGCTTCCGGATTAACTCAATCTGGCCGCAGGTGGCCTCAAGTCGGGCTTCCACGCAGCCAAGACGGCCAATGACGGCTTCAGATTGCAGAACCGATGCCCCCAAGGGACCCTCAGACGCCCCCCCAAGAAGCACCCAAGAGGTGCCTCCAACAGCCAGTTGACGAAGCATGCGGAACACCCCAGAAGCTCCTCAGATGCCGTCGCGCGCCTGTGCTTGATAGCGTTGTCCAAGATCGTCCAGCGCCCCCCAGGCCTGGGCTAGAACCTGAGCGCGCGCGAAGCGCGCGCGATGGTTCTAGTATATATATATATATATATACATATATGTAGAATCCGCCTCTGGTTACGAGCGATATATATATATATATATATATATATAGTCCGCCTTCCTATTTCATCTTTGTGCCGACTTCTTCCGACCGACGTGTACGCCTCCCCCCCAAAGGCGCGGTGGTCGCGAGCTACTTCGACGCGCGCGCCGCCCGCCAG